CTACCACCCTCTGGGTGCGACTCTCTAACCAGTTGGCGACCCATTGGAGTGTATGGGTGTCTACGCCACAGTCCCCCAGCTTCCTAATGAGAATGGGGTGAGAGACAGTATCAAAAGCCTTCGTGAAGTCTAGGAAAACTATATCCGCTGCCACCCCTGCATCCAATGATTTAGTGACCTGGTTGTAAAAGGCCACCAGGTTGGTCTGACAGGACCAACCAGGATCTTATTAGAGTAACCCTAGTTTTTCCTTTTCTTTTGCGATGTATTGGATCTTGAAATGCCAGACTTGATTGCAGTGACTATATTTTTGCACAATACTTGATATATCAAAAGTGCAGGAGTGCATTTTGAATGAGCAGCAAGTTAAAGGCTTTTGTGTAGAGCTTTGGCAGAGAGAGCTTCAGATGCCATTAAACAACGTCCAGGTAGCTTTTATTCACCAGTAACCTAGGTCACAGTCAAACTCAGTAAAATGTTTAAAAGATGAAACATTCTGGGCCCCCCCCCCCCCCCACACACACGCATGCACGCCCAGGCCAAAGATTCTTCTTACCAGTAATATTGTGCTCTTATAGCTTTTTCTGGTTTGGGGCCAAACTATACTTACTGTTATAGAATCATAGAAAATTAGGGTTCGAAGAAATCTCAAGAGGTCATCTAGTCCAACCCCCTGCTCAAAGCAGAACCATCCCTAACTAGATCATCCCAGGCTTTTAACTTTAGCAGAAATCTTGATAGGTTGTACTTATTATTGTATAACAGAAGCTGCAAATGAGTTTTTATTAGCAGTGACCAAAAGAAGTACATTTTGGTCTGACTTGTTGAAACATTTCTTAGAGGTTTTAGGTGAGATTTCAGCATGAGATGTTTCTGATGTCCAATTTAGAAATATACAGATTTTAATGAGTGAAAATTCTGTTTTGGATATGTTAGATGATCTGCTTACTCACAAGGAGTTGATTAGGTTCCGGCCATTTCATGCAATTAATCCCATATTAAACTGTTGAACTTCTGTCTCCTCTTGCATGAAGTTTCCCTATTAGTTTGTGGAAGTATTTCAGTTTAGAATGGTCCGTTGCTGCTCTGAAGCTTGTGTAAACTGTTGACTCAAATTTAATATAAGAGGTTACGTTAGAATTATTTGAAAGAGAGTTTTTGTTTTATTGTTAGGTCAGGAGAAGCTGTAGTTCTTTTCACTGCAACGATCTGAATGATATAAACATGCACCAAAATTGTTCTCTTCTGGATCAACTATATATTTTTAAAATTCACTTAAGCCTCTTGCTAGCATCAAGAGCCTAAAGACAGTGGTTTGTCTGTAGCTGTTTCAAAATCCAGATTGCTAGTTGGATTAACATAATTTCCTGTGACTGAAGAATAATGCAATTTAAAAAATAGCACAAGAAGGGACCATGACTGCCAAGTCTGCTTACTTTGTTAGTTACTAGAATGTTATCAGGTTTCAGTACTTGCATTACTAGTGTCTTTTTGTGATTTCTTGATATTCTCATGCCATTTTCTAATTTAATTTACTGACGAGAACTTTCTTTACCTATTGGTTCTTGATACTGCTGTAAACAAGGATGTTATCTCTGGAGATGCACATCCATAGTTTGAGACCTGATACTAAGCATCACAGAGATGCTTAATGGGATCTTCTAGACTGAACACTGAGTCCCATTGGGTAGAGTGGTTTTCTTTAATCTTTACTAATCTGTAGAGGAGCCTCTGGGAACCCCATAAGATTGGGCCCTTAATATAGTCCATGGCCTGTTGTGACCTATTTATAAAACCTTTCTAAAAAAGTTGCGTGAATATATTGTCTCAAATGGTGTATAATTAAAAGCTTTAATCCCTATTCCATGATGATATTTTTGAGCTTTAATGTATCTTACATTAAAAACTAACTTTATATACTTAAAAAAATCTTAAAAAATAAAAAATACGATTAAATACAAAAATCTGAGGTTTTTTATTAAAAATCATTTATTTTTATTCACCCTGATTCTGACTTCTGTGGAATTATATCAGTTTTCACTAACTAAAGATCTAGCCCTGAGCTTAAATTCATATTTACTGTAAGTTTCTTGAAGCAGTAAGGTCAAAGCGTATGCTAGTCATTTTTTTTAATGATAAACTGCCTGTCTGTTGTTCTGAAACAGTTTGACTACTAATGACCGTGAAATTTATGAAAGTCCTTGTTTTATTTGCACATTACTGATGTCAGCTAGTCAGAATGTACAGTATATTAACTTAAATCAGGATTTCTAGTTCTATTAGTAGACTTTCCAGGCTGCTGAAGAACGAAACCAGCAAGATCCCCATCTGTGAATCACAGCAGTGAAACTGGCTTTTCAGAAATTGTCGAATTGTTTGACTATAAATAAATTGTAGTGGGGTTACATATCCTTGGAAAAACTGAGCTGAAGTTGTTTGCAGGGAAGTAGAGTAAGGAAAGTGGAGAAATCTGTGCTGTAGCCAAAGAGAGGATATCCATTTCTTTGCTTTCCTTAAGCTGGGGATCCTTTGGGCAGTTTAAATATATCAAAATCTTAATATTCAGAGCATATTCAAGTAAGTTCTTAAGTAGGTTCCAGGATAGCATTTTCTTGCTTCCTAACAGCTGAACATAGTGGAAGGAAAAGGGCTTTATTTTTTTTACTAAAGATATTCTTCTGTTACAATATTGATACGGATTCCATCATCATATCTGTTTCCAGCAGTTGTCTGGCAAGCTCTTCAAATTCGTGTTATTAATTCAGGTCTTGGATGTTTGAAAAATGGGATAGCCAGGCAGAATTTGCTTCCAGGTCATCTTTCTCCTATCCAGCTTCTCCCTTGTGCTTTGTCTCACTGTAAAAACCTGGATGCAGAGGAAGAGACAGGGAGATGGAGTTCCTTGTGTGGTTAAACAGGAGCAACTGTAACCATTTATTTTTTCCTTGAAAGTGGGTTTAGGAGATGATGCTTGTATGGGCTGAAATAAGGGACGCTACCAAGTCAAGTAAGTAATCACTATTGTGAGTAGGGGCAAAAAGATGCTTGTTCAGAGGTAGCGGGAGGATGTATTACTGTAAGCTTGCCTTTGTTGAGGTTGAGTTAAAATATTGTGTGAAAGTTGACATGGGTATTTCTCTTGCAGACTTGCAAATTTAGCTCTTAGGATTTAGAAACAGATATGTAGATATTGCCCCAGTTGAATATTTTGTGGTATGAATGGCCTTATACATGAACAAACAAGAAGAAAACTCAAAATCATACTACAGGGGTGTCAAAGATATGGCACATGGGCCGGATCTAGCCTGTGTAACCCTATCATCTGGCTTGCAGCGCTGCCTGTGGGTCTTGGACCAGACTCATACTGAATGTAGCACGTGTTGGCCTGCCTGAGCTGGTCTAGCGCATATGGGGCTGGTCTGGATTGGGCCCACACACTGGCCCCATGCACTACATACTGCCCCATAGAGCTGCACACAGCGTGAGGCCAGTACAGGCATGTAGTGCCCACCCCGACTGACTCTGCTTTGGCTCCAGCATATAGGATCAGTTTGTGGGCTTGATTTGGCCCCCAGACTGATCCTGAACTTTTTATCTGGCCTGCAGGTCTGAAAAAGGTTGGTCTCACTGTCCTAGAAGAAGTGAAATCCAGTACTGAGAGATACTTTGTGGCTGCATTTTGAAAGTAGGAAGAGCCTCATCCAAATGTGTGCGCTCACATATGTTGGACTTGAAAGACTAAAAGTCAGCCTCTCATATTTTTCATGAAACAGTTGACAGCTGCTGTATTTCAAGCAATGCTTAGATGTCAATGAAGGGCCAAACCCTTAAGTTACTAATTTTGGAGCTGTTTGAAAAATGTGTGTGTTCTTAGATTTCTAAATGATGATATGCTGGTTGGTATCCTTAATGCTTTGATTAACTTCCAAAAAATATGGAACAAATTAACTGTGTGTGTGTGTGTGTGTGTGTATAATATGGATATATATGGATATGAATATATTGACAAAAAGTAGAAGGATACAAAGCATACAGA